TTGTTGTTCTGGATTTTGTTTTCTGTTTGTTGTGTTGCTGTTGGAAAAAAATAGTAGAAAGAATAATTCTTTGAATTCTCCTTTTACTATTTTTTCCCCTGCCCCGCGTACCGCGCGGCAATTTGATGACGTTCCACTAAACGTAGTCTTCGGGGAGCGGGTCTGGAGAAACGGGGGTCCCAGGCTCGAATCCTCCCGCCGCCTCTTTCTGCCGGCTGAGGTTTTGTGCTGCCTTTTGCGGAAAACTTTGAGATTGAAAAAAAACATTGTGTTTTCCGATTTCCTTGACAATTGGCACCAATTTCCCCCCCCAATTTCCCCTAATTTCCCCCAATGCTTCCCCGCAAATTGCGCCTTGCTTTCTCACCAATTCCCTCCCACTTTCCTTTCAATTTCCATCCGACTTCCCCCCAATTTCCCCCCAGTTTCCCCCAAATGTCCTGGCAAACTCCCCAACCCCAGCTTCCTTCCAAGTGTCGCCCACAATGTCCTTCGTGTCGGATACTTGGGCCATGCTAAGCCACGCTTCTCGCAAGCAAGAATGCCGTACAAGGGGCAACCTCAACACCCCTCAGAAATCAGCTTATCCGCGCACCCCGCCAAAATGACATGCAGTGGCCATGACATACCACCCAGCACTAAGGTGCCCTAAACGGCGAGCCTTCCTGTTCGCAATTGTACGCCCTGTTTGGTCGCCACCCTTTCCCAACATTTTACTTGGAGGCATGGTTCGGCGCCCTTTTTGGGAGCACCCTCTTGGTGGCACTCAACACTCCGCCGACATTGCTCGGCGTGTCGGGGAGGATGGGGGAACCAGAGAGGACAGAAGAGCATACTAGGGGGACACGGGCGAGAGGAAGAAGGAGACAAGCTAGATGCCAATGTCGGCGGACTGAGCCGGAGGCTCTAAAGTTTTGAGCATGCGGGAAGATCCAGGTGTGATATGCACGCACTTCAAGAAGGGTGTGGGTGTCCGTAAAATCGAGTTCCAAAACACTGTGAACGAATCACCATCAAACGCCACGGAACTGAATGATCTGCCAGATCATAGGCCTCAAAACCAAGCCAGGCCTGGGAATATAGAGGGGATTGGAGGGGTATAGAACGGACGCCTCTACATACAATCCTGGACAATGGGTCTTTGTGAGGCACAACAGCACTAGAAGCGCCCACCTCCTCTCTAAATGCCCTCCTTGGCCACATTATGAAACTTTGCTAACCACAAGTTGTCAGATTCCATGCTGCTTGTCTCCGCGGTAAGCCAACACTGCTCCCGACCCCAGGCACCCACACCATCAGCGCCTGGCCGGCTTTGACGTATCAGCCAGGCTCATGTCAGTGACTGGGTGCGAAGGCCGAACTTTGTTTGCATTGTCAAAGCTCCTTCTCACTTCCTCAGTGAATTGGCCAAAAAACCTTAAACTTGTTGTTTGCAACTAAGATTGCTTTCCCACTAAGTATAAAGTCCAGTACCTCAGGCCTTGCATCGGAAGAGAAATGGAGCTTCCCGCGCTGCAACTTGTGCCAAGTGCCCAATCCAGCAACGTGTTGGTCTGCTGGCCATGCAGCCTTCCCAACCTGCTGAGAACTGGAACTGCTCATATGCGCCCCTCAAACTTGTGGCCATTGCTGTGGGACCCTTGTGTGGACTTTGTGAGGGAAAGCAACAAGTATAAAGTGTAGGATCGAAGTGCCAAAACACAAATGGAAATTAAAGGTCCTCTGCCAATGCCGATGTAGTCTTCTCTACTCTTCCTTCCGTGGCCCATCCCTTCCAGCCTTTCAAGGCGATTGCATGGGCCTGTGGGGAGCAAGCAAAAGCTAGTCTGAGAGGGGAAGGAAGCGCTGCACAACGGCCACATCCAAATTGGTTTAATGGATGCACACCATGAAAATATGATTGTTGCAATATACAAAAATTGATTAGGCACGCTTCAGACTGAGGCAGCTTATGTCGTGTAGTGAATGGGGAGGCAACACAGACAAGTGCTCCCAAATGTTATTCCCTACCTTTGTTTGGGTGGGGGGGGGCCTTCACTCATCACTCCCCCACAATCATCTGCGAAGCACTGCGTATGCAACTCAATAATCTCAATTACCGTGCATATGAGTTTGAGATACAGTTTGAATCTACTACTGCACCCGCAGTTTGAAGAACGAAGTATGTCAATGCGAAAAACCCTGAAGGTTGGACTCTTGCTACTCAGGTTTTCAGCATTTCAGCAATGCAAATGCGCGCTATACTCAATTAGTGCATGGCCCTTTACAGAATGTCCATCCTGGGAAACACAACCCCCCGCTCCGCCCCACCCCACCCCGCCGCAACAAACAACAAATCAAGCAGGCAAGCACAAACCAACAAAAAAAGCAACAACAAACAAACAAAAGCAAGAACTCAAACAGCCAAACAAACATAAACCGTTCCCCCTGATAAACGCGGACGCCCCCCCTCCCCTAATAAATCAGGTGTGGGGGACAAAACTATACTTATCAATAGGGTCCTTTGGAGTCAACCGCATTTCCTCTTCGGTCCTCGTCCAAATGGGCTCCTCCCCCCCCCCTTCCCGGACACGAAAAACGTCACAACCGTAATTTTGCGAGTAACGATTCTAAACAAAACCATTCAAGGTTGTGTTTTCGTTTTTGCGGCTTAAAAGTAAAAGGGCTCAGTTTAGACAATTCAAGAAATAAACGTGCACTAGCAAAAAGGGACGTATGCATTTAGAACTTGGGTTGGTGCCAGGAGCTTGGGTCCTGGACTAGTTACCCCCTAAGGCTGGGGCTCTGAGCAAGAAATCCGCAAGTTTAGTATTGGTTTTGAATTGGCCTATTCTAAAAGTAGTATTGGGGACCCGGCAGTCTGGGAAAAGTCGTAATTAGGTGCATATAGTAAAAGGGGGAACGGATTGCAAATAAACACACACGTTAACCACGCAAACACGCCAACAAACAAACAAAACAATAGAAATGATAATATTATTAGTGTTAATATTATTAGTCATTATTGCTCTTTGTAAAAGAAGAGAACCAAGCACACAAACAAACACCCAATGAATCGATGAATGAATGAATGAATGAATGAATGAATGAATGAATGAATGAATGAATGAATGAATGAATGAATGAATAAATGAATCAATGAATGAATGAATGAATCAATGAATGAATCAATTAATGAATCAATGAATCAATGATTCAATCAATCAATCAACTAATCAATCAACCCATCGATCAATCGATCAATCGATCAATCAATCAATCAATCAATCAATCAATCAATCAATCAATCAAGTCAATCAATCAATCAATCAAATCAAATCAAATCAAATCAATCAATCAATCCATCCATCAATCCATCCATCAATCAATCAATCAATCAAACCAATCAAACAATGAATGAATGAATGAATGAATGAATGAATGAATGAATGAATGAATGAATGAATGAATGAATGAATGAATGAATGAATGAATCAATCAACCAAATCAATCAATCAATATGTAAATCGATACGTAAACAATCAACCAAAGAAACAATAAGTAAATAGATACATAGACAATCAAACAAACAAACAATAAGTAAATATATACATTAAAAAAAAAAAAAAAATCAAATAAACAAACACATAAATCAACAAATCAGTCAACCAACCAATCAATCAACCAACCAGTCAATCAAATAACATAATTATATATGTATATATGTATACATATGTATTACAAAAATCAACCAACCAACCAACCAACCAACCAACCAACCAACCAACCAACCAACCAACCAAACAAACAAACAAACACACAACAAACCAACAACCAAGCAAGCGATCAAACAGACAGGCAAGACTAGAGAAGGACAAACAAACACAGAAAACAAAGCACAAACCACACACATAACAAAGAAACACATAAACATACACAAAGGCAGACAGACGGACCGACTGACAGACAGACAGACAAACAGAGAGGCGAATGGACAGACCGACCGAGCGACAGACAGACAGATGGACAGATGGACAGACCAGCCGACCAACCGACAGACAGACAGACAGACAGACAAAGACAAACAGGCAGGCAAACAAACAAGCAAACAAAGAAGCAAACAAGAACACAAACAAGCACGCACACACGTGACATGTATTCCCCTTGTGGTTCTGTTAAGTTTTCCTCGTCCTGATTGGCTCGGATTCTGTTAAACGCCGATGGAGAAAGACCAAAAACGACAAACAAAGGATCTGCCAAGGTTGCGAGTTGCTTTCGCTTGACCACCTCTTTTAGATGAGCTTCATGCTTCAATTGGCCGTCCGAGGTGTGTAAACTCGCACAGCAAGGCTCTTTGATTTAGCAAGCTCATGGCACCAGAGGCTGTCAGTCAGCCACATGCTTACACGTGCCCAGATTCTCGCAAAACACAAGTAGGTCAACCAACACCCCTATGGTCATGAATTCAAAACAAGTAGACACCGACTTGATCAGTAGACAAAAGTGCTCACCGAGCTGCGTCCGATGATTCAATGAACCCATGTCGCTGAGATCCCGGCAACGCCATGAGGGCCCCAGGATCTAAGGCGACGATCCGTCGGCCCGCTGACCTGTTGGCATTGGCTGAAGGTTGGTTTCGCTGGGTGCTCTGGCTGGGTAGGGCGGCTGCCTTGTTCTACGGCTCAGGCTACATGCTCATGGGGCCGTTGGCGGCACAAGGCGCTGAGCTGAGCCGAAGAAAGATGCCGCGGGCCATTGGGTTCATGGATGCCAACCGATTTCACCCTGGTTCCACTTGCTCCAAGCCTTTCATCTTTTTCCAACCCTTTCCATCTGTTCATTGTTGCTTACCCTTTCAAGATACCCCCCCAAATTTCCAACCCCAGAGTTCAGGCCAATGTAGACTCGCACCACGGGCGTAAGCATAGGACCCTCCTTTCTCAGCATCTATGGTCTAGCTCTTCAAGAGGAACCCTAAACCCTAAGCCGCCAAAGTTCGGTTACCTATCCACCACTTTTTTTGCCACAGTCTGCAAGCTGGAGGCGCTTGGGTCGCAGTCTGCACTCAAAGGAACTTCTTCTGCTCCCCGATGGACGTGAACCTGTGGGTGCAGGAAACAAGTGGATTCTGCATCCCATCTCATGACCAGGGTATGTTTTGGAATTGCAGACCCTGATTTGTGTCCACCGACCATAGGGCATTCCACAGAGTAAATAGACATGCCAGCATCGCCAGGATTTGGCGCGGGCTTGATACCAGCCGTGCGCAGTCATATCTTCGCGTCACGGCGTCACGTCATTTCAGATCTCAAGAGTAGCGACGCATGTGCTGAGAGCGTACCACAGTCAAAACCACCCATGGCAAGGTCATTTAACACCAGCTCCCTACCAGTGCGAAATTTGCATGTCCTCACTGAAAGTGTTGCTATCTACATGTTTTGCTCGTGGACTGGAAAGTGCGCACGGCCGCCATGGGGGTTGCGAGCAAGCCACACCGTTGAAAGCTCCTGTTCCCAACCGAGCCAAATTCACGTGGCGATTGCTCAAAAGAAACGAGGTTTTTTCTTTCGGATCGACGCGAGCTGCAAAACACTCAGAGGCTCGCGCCGACTGTCCAGCGACTCACCGCCGACAGCCTGGGCAATGGCCTGCGCGCTGGCAAGGTCACAATCCATACACCCACTGCAAATTCGCAGGGAACCCACAAAGGGGGGTCCTTCAAAAGAAGAATCTTCTGAGTGTGCTGGAGTTTGGGTGTCCGCGTCATCTACAGGGAATGAACCTCAGGTTGAACATCCACCTCAGTCGGCATTGCCGATGTGTTTTTGTCCTTGCTGAAGTGAGTCGCCAGCCTTGTTTCCGTTCAAAGCCTAGATCTTATTCAATGAAGGCGACATAACACGCTTCACGCAAAAGGAATCACCAAGCTAAGCAAACCCAGAAAACAGAAATAGTGATATGGGCGTGCTTTGCGAGGGCACCCCTTTCAGATTGGTTCAAGGGGAACCAACAGGACAACCACACATTTCTTTTGGAGGGCGGGGGGATTCCTATTTTGACACATACCCAATATGAGGAGAAATGTGGCAAAAAGGCTTTCTTGGGGGACTCCGTTTACATGGTTGGACTTCTGTCCACTTGTTCTGAGTGTGTTCCAATCATGGAAAAACAATACAGTCGAAGACGTGTTCAACATGAAAGGGCACTGATTTTGGATCTTCAGGTCCAACAATTGTTCCTTTCATAAAAACGGGGTCACAAAAGCGTCCTCAAATCGCATGAAGTTCCAAAAGGCGCCCACAACTCGCATCAGGGTCCAAAGTGCTTAAACGGGGCCACAAGAAAGGGTCACACAACAGTCACAAAAGAAGAGGGTCGCAACAGCGTCCACAAAAACGAATCCCTTCCTTTTTGCACTCTTGCACAAATAAGGCCTTATGCAAAGGGTCCAAAAGGCCATGAGATCCCACAAACCGGGTCCAACAAACGTTGCGAGGCCTGTCCCCAAATGGAATGAGTGCCGTTGCCCCGGGCCCCTTGGCTTCCAAGTCGACATCATTTTCCGCGAAGGCGCCGTTTGGCGCTTCTCCAAGAGCTCGCGGAGCTCGCCCACCAAGGTGGCCTCGAGATTTCGCGAGTGCAGCGAACTAGGAATGGGTCTGGGCTTGGTTTCGGGGTGGCTTGCGGTTTTAGGGTTGGTGTGTTGTTTGAGGGTTGGCTTGTGGTTTTTAGAGTTGGCTTGTGGTTTTTAGAGTTGGTTTGCGGCTTTAGGGTTGGTTTGTGGTTTTGGGGTTGGTTTGTGGTGTTGGGGTTGGTTTGCGGCTTTAGGGTTGGTTTAGGGTTGGTTTAGGGTTGGATTGGGGGGGGTTGTCCTGTGGTCGAGTCGTGGTGTTGGGTTGATTCAGGATGAGTTTAGGGTTGGTTCAATGTCGGATCAGATTTGGGGACCCAAAATTGAATGACCCTCAGAATGTTGCCGACCAGAAAAGCAACAACCTGTGATAGCATGGTGGTGCATTCCCAACCATACCTACAGAATGTCAGTTGGGTGTGGGTCAAAATTCATCCACCAGGGGACCGCGGGGTTGCGTCCATGTTGACATTTACCAGGGTTCCCAAAATGGGTACCTACTTTTGACCCACAGCCAGTTGTTGTGAGAGTTTTCAAGGGCAATTCTCCCAAAACGCGGCAGCCCAACACCAACTTCCCGCCATGGCCTCGCGGTTGGCCTTCTCCTCGAAGTTGTACCTTGCCAGCTCCGCAGACCAAAAAAAACCACCCCCGCACACTTTGGGCGAAACGGCAAGGTAAAAGGGAAGACGTGAGAAATCCGGGCGGCGAAAAAAAGGGACGGCTAAGAGAAGAACCCTGAGGTAGACGAACACGAAGGGAAACATTGTTCAATTAATCTAAAAAAACAAAATACACCAGCATAGACCCCAAATAGCACACCACGGCTACGAACCATGACGCAGCATCAAGATGGTTCCCGCGGCATCATGTTGATGTTGACAGCATCTTGATGACACCACAGCCACTCAGCATGGTGCGCTAAATAAACGTGCGAACAACGTCCTAATGAGCGCAACAGCATAATGATGATGTTGACAACACCATGCTGATACACCAGCCACGAACGATTTCGTGCTACTATGGTGATGCGAGCAGCAGCATGGTGATGCGAACAGCATCATGGGGATCGCAAATGCAACAGCATGATGGTACCACAGCCACGAATCATCTTGCGACAGCGTAATGAAATTCAGCATCATCCTGATGTTGACAGATCATGGCGCCACCGCGCCCACGAACCATAACGCAGCATCGCAGTGATTCCAGCAGCATCATGACGTGGTTGACTACATGATACACCAGCCACGAACCACTACGCGCCACAGTTAGAGCAGCAACAACGTCCGGTTCAGTTGACTGCATCATGATGCTGCGGACAGCATCATGATCAACCGCGACACCACAAACAGCACGCGCCCTACACCCTGCCACCCATATGCGCCCGCACCGTCACCAACACCTCAAAACAGCAGCCCCAACAGCACCCCAATGCAGGACCTGCGCGCACCGGACATGTCCCCAATCACCCTGCCGTCACGCGCTGTCACCACTGACCAGCACGCACTTGCGCAGTAGCCCAAAGTGCACGCCCCCAAGCTCCCAGCCGTCGATCTTGCAACGTCCCCTTCTTCATTAGAAGTTAGAACGCCTATGGTTTTCAGTTCTCTGGGAGAAGAAAAAATGCGGTCAGCAGCATCTCAAACAGCAACCCAAAACAGCACTTGTACCACCACCCCAAACTGCATGCCCCCTAGCACTCGCCGGCAATCTCGGAAAATTGCGCCCACAAAGTCACCAGCACCTCAAACAGCACGTACCCCAAAACAGCACCTGTATCAGCACCCAAGCTCCATGAGGCCATCAATCTCGCAAAAATGTGAAGCTCGCAAAACACGTCCAGTGGCACTCCAAACTGTATGAGCTCGCAAAACAGCATCCAGCAGCACTCCAAACTGCATGCCCCCTAGCACCCGGCCGGCAAGCTCGCAAAACAACATCCACCAGCACCCCAACTGTGCCCCCTAGCACCCGGCCGTCAAGCTCGCAAAACAGCATCCACCATTACCCCAAACTGCATGCCCCCGGCTAGCCCCCGGCCGTCAATCTTGCAAAACAGCATCCACCAGCACCCCAAACTGCATGCTCCCTTGCACCCGGCTGTCAAGCTCGCAAAACAGCATCCACCAGCACCCCAAACTGCATGCCCCCTAGCACCCGGCCAGCAATCTCGCAAATCACTTTCCCTTCTGTATTAGAAGTTAGAATCCCTATAGCTTTCAGCTATCTGGGGAATAAAAAGACCAACGACATGATATTTCAACTTTTCTCGAAATAAAGACCTTTACACTTTTTGGTCGGGCCCTGTATGTTCATTTTGAATGGGCTAAATCGGAAACCCGGGCGCCTTAAATGGGTCAAAAGTCAGAAGGCAGCGAGGTCACCATGTGGCTCAACTCGAAAGCGCAAATCCGCGAGGGGCACATTGCCAAGGCTCTCTTCTCCTCGGCCGAGTAGACCTGATTCTCCTGGCATTCCAGTTACACAGCAACTGACATGAAAGGTTCAAGAAGGCCTATGGAACCCAGTCTTCCAAAGGGTCCTGGGGTCCGAGCTTGGATGCTGAAAGCAGGCCCCTGTATGCTTCATTTTGAGGCCACAAGCTATTTCACCGCCGCAAGCCTTTTTCGGCCCCGCCCGCATCCGCCAGCCCGCGCAGTCCTTTCGGATACGCACTGCGTTCATGCGTCGGTGCCGGGAGCCGCTCATCACCTGCAATGTGACGATGCCATGCACTCGGGGGATATTCTCCGAACGGCTGATGGCCGTGTCGCTGTCCAAAGCGTCTCCATTTCATGACTCACCCCTGTTCTGCACAAAGCTTCTGGACCCAGCTGCATGTCCCGTATCAAACACGCGCGCCCAGAGACCTAAGAAGCTCTTGAAATTGGAGTGTTCCTGGAACCAAGCAGGCCGAACATCAAGCAGTCAAGCAGGCCGGGACCACATAGCCGAGGCCCTCCAGCCCATCGATCTGCTCTGCGCTGATGCCAACTTCTCCTCGTCGAGGGATGCGCATGCCGCTCTTGACGTACCTGGCGCGCGCCACTTGCAGCTTGCACACCATCCCCTTTCCAGCGGATGTACGTGCAAAGACAACCAAACGAAGCCTAAAAGACAATATCCTCACAGCTCTTGACTCACGCTGGACAAGAGGGGGCACTCGGCCATTGCATCTCCCTCACCAGGAAGCAGGTAGCCTAGCACGGATGGACGGCGGCCGGTACGGGTTCACATTCTGGCCAGCAGCTATCGGGAGTGGCCATCACGCGCTTCGGAATTTGGGAAACTTATCACTTTAGACTTTAGGGCACGTAACTGCCTGAAGAGCCAAGGCCGGTGCTCAATTCGTTGAGGGCAAGTCACACTCCATCGCAAACACGGGCTCCA